GAGAGCTGTGCACCTGCTTTCCTCGGAGGACAAAAGAGACGCAGTTGGGGAAAAAGAACTAAATCGTTCACGTGTTGTAGCCACTGAAACGGTACTTGTTAACAGCAGAGTGACGAGTTCTAACAGAAAAAGTATTCAGGATGAAGGTGCTGAGCTGCTGACCTGTGGTTCTGTCTTTCCTGGCAGCTCTGTGAGTTCCTTTCAAGATTTATCACTGTAATTAGACCAGCTAGAAGAAGGAGGAAGGTAATAAAGTAGAGAAAGAGCATCAGGGCATCCTGCCAAAAAAACCCTCTCCTCTGAGGCAGACCCAGAGCAAGATTTTAAGCCCTGGTGGCAGGAAATTAAATTAGTCCATCTTCCTGAAATAATACATCAATAAAACACAGCTAGTTCAGTTGAGCTCAGTGAGTTCAGAAAAGAAATGGTGTTCTCTGTTCTGAGTTGAGATTTAATTAAGGGGCTCAGGCTTTGGGAATTTTTTCTTTCTAAAAGATTTTTAAGAAGATTGTAGGTCATTATCATTCATTTGTATCTTTAAGATGATTGTAGGTCATTATCATTCACTTGTTTTTATTGTTTCAGAGAGCTCAAAAAAATAAATGGGGCTGTAACAGAAGGAGCCAAACATCAAAGTCCGCCTGTTGCGGGCTTTTTTTTTTTTTCCCTAAACAGGCCTGGGGACACATTGTTTTGATAGGTAAATGCTCTTCAGGGGCATGTAACGGGGAACGGGTCACCTTCACTGACGTGTCCTCCACCCATCTCCTTACGTTTCTGTTCCTCCTTCAGGTCTGGGGTCTTGTCTGGGTATCCCACACATGGCAGCAGAGGCCTCCCCAGAGAAGGCTTAAGGACCTGGGGTTATGGGGGGGTGGGCAGAAATGGGAGTAAAAGGCAGAAAACTGTACTTGAACAGCAATTAAAATTTTTTTTAAAAAGGACCTGGGGTTCAATCTTGGCACCTACACATTTTGTTAAAATGGAGGGCGAGACAGGTGCGGGATCAGCCACGGCTGTAGCCTGGGGGCCGTTCCCCTGGGAAAGATAAGAACCATAGAAATGAAGATCACATGGAGGGCTAGCAACGGGAGTGGGAGAAGGAGAAGGGGGGAGAAGGTACAGAGAATAAGTAGCATAGACGGTAGGTAGAAAATACATAGGGGGGGAGGGCAAGAATAGTAGGGGAAATACAGAATCTAAAGAACCTGAGACACGTGTTCATAAACTAAAGGGGAGGGAATGGTGGGGGAGGGGTGTGCAGGGTGGAGGGGAATGAAGGGGGAAATAGAACAACTGTAATGGCATAATTAATAAAATATATTTAAAAATTAAAAAAATAACCATAGGCAAAAAAAAAAGAAGCAGCAAACAGACTGGCCATTCTAATGTGTGGCTCCTTGTCTGGCAGAATTTTAATAGCATCTAGAAGGTGGTGAACGAAAGCTGCCTTGTACGTAGTTTTCTTTAAATGGCTTGAGATTTACTTCTAACTGAACATTGGTTAGATATGTGAATCTCAATTTAATCTCTTTTTTTGTTAGGATGATAATTGCCAGTGGTAGAAGAGAGAACGTTAGTTTAGTGATGTTTAATGTCTAAAATTAGGGCTGACTGGTAATCTCTGGAATGACCCTTTGACGGGCCATTTGGATGAATTGGCATTCATTATCTGTAATCTGGCTGTGTGGTAGTTCACAGAGCACTTCCACCCTTCGAGCGCCTGCGCGTTCCACGATTATGTAAAGGAAGAACGATTCCTGCTTTGCAGGTGTTGCGATAGGGGGGTGCGGAGAGGGCGGGAGGGCGTCGGTTCTTCATTCCAGACAACTGTACTGTATTACATGTAACAACTAGACAGAGTATGAAAACTTTGTATGTTTCCACGTGCTTAGCAGTGGAGCAGTTTTGTTTTAAAGATTTATTTAACCACTTTTAGAGGGAGTGTAAGGGAAAGGGAAAGAGAGGAAGGGAAACATCAGTGTGTATCCATGTGTGGTTGCCACTCAGCCACCTACGGGGACCCAGCCTACAACCCAGGCACATGCCCTGACCGGGAATCAAACCGGCAACCCCTTACTTCATAGTCTGGTGCTCCGTCCAGTGAGCCACACCAGCCAGGGCTGTTTTGTTTTTTTTTTAATGAAAGATCAGGGGAGGGACACATTGATGTCCTATATTTATTAAGCGTCAGCGTATATGCCTAGAGTGGCCCGCCCCTGTTCTATATTCTCCTGCCCTTTTTTCTTTTCTTTTTATGCTTACCTGAGGATGTGTGTATTGACTTTTAGAGGAAGAGGAAGGGAGAGAGAAGGAGAGAGAAAGAGAGAGACACGTCAGGGAGAGAGAAAAATATCACTCAGTTGCCTCCCGTGTGTGCCCTGACTGGAATCAAACCCACAACCTTTTTGGCGTGTGGGACTCCCATGTTCCAATCAACTGAGCCGCCATGCCAAGCCATTCTCCCTCCGTTTTGCTAGCAGGGAATAATAGCACAACTGAAAAATACATTGTTCTCACTGCTCTAAGTATCTATTAAAATTACATACATGTGTCCTGGGGCCCAGAAATTATACTTCGAGAAATGTATCCTTACAAGTATACTTCCCCACACATGAGCGGTCCTAGGTTTTTCATAGTAAAATATCAGAAACAGCTTAAGTGCTAGGGTAGTGGTTAAATAAATCATGATGCTACCATACCAGGGAAGCTGCTTGCATAAAGGATGAGGCCCCTCTATCCTGACTGAAGGAACAAACTACAGGACACACAGCTTGGTGAGAAAAAGAAGATGCAGACACTGTGTGTTACTGTGTCACATACAGTGCTTGTGAAAAATGGGAGGGGGAAGTGTGTTATCACATACTGGTCTGTTTTCATTAACTAGTTCAGGAAGATTGAAATCTAGTCACACTTGCCGTGTGGGCAGGAAACTGGGTGACTGGAGAACAGGTGAGGTAGAGACCTGTCAAAGGGCCTTTTGAATCAAAAACCATGTGTGTTACCTTTTTTTTTTTTTTAATCCTGCACCAAGGTTTTCAGGAGTTTGAGGTCCTTGTTCCCTACTCTTTGCAAAGGATTCATTTAATCCCCCTTCCTCCTGCTTCGAGTTTTCTGGCACCAAATGAAGTTCTCTTTTTTTGTTTCGCTTAAAATTTTTTGACCCCTATTTTCTTATTTGGCTTCAAATTGTATTAAATTTATTGATTGGATAAGTGCTTTTATGTAATGTATTACACCACATCCTCATTTATTTCCATAGATTTTACACCAGCCATAGTTTATGATTTTAAAATGGAAAAGTATTATCAGCACAAGACAAGAAATTAAAACAGTACAAATGAGTGTACAGTAGAAAGTGGTTCATTTTTCATTGTTATTTTATTTCTATCGTTGCAGACCTCTGAGTCCCCTAGGCCCACAGTTCCCCTGCTAAGGCTGCTCCTGTCCCGCTTCGGCGTGTGTGCCTCTAATAATACGGCGTGCGCGCCTCTAACAATACGGCGTGCACATCAAGCATAAACCCGCGTGTGTTCTCTTTCTGACACACTGTGTAAATCGAACTATACACATTGTTCCTCATCAACTTCTTTCACTTAACATATCTTGGTATAGGACTATATTCCAATCAGTACATTCCTTTTTATTTTTTAGATTTTATTTATTTTATTTTTAGAGAGGGGGGAAGGGAGGGAGAAGGAGAGAGAGAGAAACATCAATGTGTGGTTTCCTGTCATGGGGCTCCCACTGGGAACCTGGCCCACAACCCAGGCATGTGCCCTGACTGGGAATCGAACCAGCGACCCTTTGGTTCTCAGGCTGGCACTCAATCCACTGAGCTGTACCAGCCAGGACCAGATTAGTACATTCTTTTTAGTAACTGCATAGGACTCCACTATACATGATAAATATATTTAATTTATGTAATCAGCCTCCTCTTGATGAGAGTTGGGGTTGTCCACAGTCTATCACTGCTGCAACATGGGACCACAGCAGCAATGACTGGAGTGGCTCAGTGGGGCATTGTCTCTCAAAGCGAAAGGTCACTGGTTCGATTCCCAGTCAGGGCACATGCCTAGGTTGCGGGTTGAGTCCTCAGTCAGGGCACATATGAGAGAAAACTGATCAGTGTTTCACTCCTTCTCTTTCTCCCACCCTGCCTCCCGCTCCCCCCTAAAAAAAAGATGCCACAACAAATACCCCTGTATCTATAAGGTACATTTTTAGAAATACAACTGTTAAGTCGAAGGTCTGTGCATTTAAAATGTTGATATAGTTCAGAATTACTCTGTGCAGAGGTAGCAGTCCAACAGGATATGAGGTTACTCAAGCTTTTAAAAGGTTCCCAGCTGCCTCAGTCTGTAGTATAAGGTAAAATATTGGTTGAAGGCAGGACAAGCTAGTTAACCCTATTGGTGGACTAGCATTTTAACTTTTCCCACTGAAGCTGGTTTCGGAAATACATGGGGTAGTAAAGTTATTAAATGTAGCTATCAGATATAGTCAATAACATTGTAATAATGATGTGCGGTGCCTGGTGGGTAGTAGAAATATCGGGGACACTTTGTAAATTACATGTTTGTCTAACTGGTATGTTGTACCCCTGAAGCCAACACAAAATAATATTGGGTGTAAACTATAGTTGAAAAAAGTTAATTTTTTTAAAAATACTTTATTTATTTTTGGAGAGAGGGGAAGGGAAGGAGAAAGAGTGGGAGAGAAACATCAATGTGTGGTTGCCTCTCATGCGTCCCCTGCTGGGAACTGGCCTGCAACCCAGGCATGTGCCCTGACTGGGAATCGAACCGCGATACTCGGGTTCGCAGGCCCGCGCTCAATCCACTGAGCTACGCCAGCCAGGGCAAAATTAATTTTTTTAAAAGAGGAAAAATCGCTGTCAGAAGCTTATCAAGACGAAGGTGACTTGGGCGCGTCAGGGACTGTCAAGCAGTCCCAGTGATAATTCTGCTGTCCTTACTTGCTTTTGCTTTTTTTCCTAGGACCTTAGCATCCTGAGGCGTTTTGGATTCATAGCCTTCAAGGCTGACCTGGTCGGAGTTCAGCATGTCCAAGTTAAAAAGCTCAGAGTCGGTCAGGGTGGTGGTCCGCTGTCGGCCCATGAATGGCAAGGAGAGGGCCGCTTCGTATGACAAAGTGGTGGATGTGGACGTGCAGCTGGGGCAGGTGTCCGTGAAGAACCCCAGAGGAGTGGCCCACGAAATGCCCAAGACCTTCACCTTCGATGCAGTCTATGACTGGAATGCCAAGCAGTTTGAACTCTACGATGAGACGTTCCGACCGCTCGTGGACTCCGTTCTGCAGGGTTTCAATGGGACGATTTTTGCCTATGGACAAACGGGGACTGGGAAAACCTACACCATGGAAGGAGTCCGGGGTGACCCTGAAAAGAGAGGGGTCATCCCTAACTCATTTGATCACATCTTCACCCACATCTCTCGATCCCAGAACCAACAGTACCTGGTTAGGGCTTCTTACCTCGAGATCTACCAGGAGGAGATCCGAGACCTGCTCTCAAAGGATCAGACCAAAAGGCTTGAGCTCAAAGAGCGGCCTGACACTGGAGTGTATGTGAAAGACCTGTCTTCCTTTGTCACCAAGAGTGTGAAGGAAATAGAGCACGTGATGAATGTGGGGAACCAGAACCGTTCTGTTGGTGCTACCAACATGAATGAGCACAGCTCACGTTCTCATGCAATTTTCGTCATCACCATTGAGTGCAGCGAGGTGGGCCTTGATGGAGAAAACCATATTCGTGTAGGGAAATTGAACCTTGTAGATCTTGCGGGCAGTGAACGGCAAGCCAAGACCGGCGCGCAAGGGGAAAGACTGAAGGAAGCGACCAAGATTAACCTGTCCCTTTCTGCCTTGGGTAATGTCATTTCTGCCCTGGTGGACGGCAAAAGCACTCACATTCCGTATCGGGACTCCAAGCTTACCAGACTCCTCCAAGATTCTCTCGGTGGCAACGCTAAAACTGTGATGGTGGCCAACGTGGGGCCCGCCTCTTACAATGTCGAAGAGACTCTGACCACTCTGAGATACGCCAACCGTGCCAAAAACATTAAGAACAAGCCAAGGGTCAACGAGGACCCTAAGGATGCCCTCCTTCGAGAATTCCAAGAAGAGATTGCTCGCCTCAAGGCCCAGCTAGAAAAACGGTCCATTGGCAGGAGAAAGAGGCGAGAGAAGCGAAGGGAAGGTGTTGGCAGTGGTGGGGGTGGGGAAGATGAGGAGGAGGAGGGAGAAGAGGGTGAGGAGGAAGGGGATGATAAGGATGATTATTGGCGGGAACAGCAAGAAAAACTGGAGATTGAGAAGCGAGCCATTGTGGAGGACCACAGTTTGGTTGCAGAGGAGAAGATGAAGCTGCTGAAAGAGAAGGAGAAAAAGATGGAGGACCTGCGGCGGGAGAAGGATGCTGCCGAGATGCTGGGTGCCAAGATCAAGGTACTGTGCCCTTCCTTGGGTCCTTTCAGATCTTTGTATTTTATCCAAAAAATAGTAGTATGAGGGATGATGTGTCTTTTGGGTTCCCATTCCCAACAGTGATATCCAGTGCCCAGTAAACATTTGTTGAATGAAGCTGAACAATTTTTTTGAATCAAACAAAATTAGATATTGAGTTAGTAGTAAGAATAATTATAACATATATGCAAGATTGAAAAGCAGCAGTAAAGCTAACACCCCTGTTACCCCCGACCTACCCAGTGTGAGACATAGAGAACAATATCCGGGCCTTTACAAGCTCTTCTTGTTGCTGCCTCCCCACCGCCCCCACGTCCTGCAAAAGGTAACCATTGTCTCGGGTTCGGTGGTTCATTGTTTCCTTGCTTTTCTTTATAGTTTCCCATTTATGTATATATCTCTGAGTAAAATATAGTTTCAGCTTCACATCATTTTTTACTTTTATATAAATGGAATCTTTCTGCTGCAGTTTGCTTTTATTGAGGTTTATCTATATTGAGGTCTGTAGCTGCGATTCATTCATTATTGCTGTTCTGAGAAGTCCACAGTAGTCCATTCTCCTGAGAGAGTGGGTTGGTTGTTTCTGTTTTCTGCTTTGAACGCTCTTGTGCTTGGCTCCAGGAGAGCGGGTGCGCACAAGAACTTCCTGTCCGGCACTGGCAGGCCCCAGAGTATGTGCAGCTTTACCTTTGCGTGGTGATGACAAGTTGTTTTCGAAAGTGGCCCTGTGAATTGAAGCTTCTACCAGTAACCTACGAGTTCAGGTTGCTCTTTGATCCTTACCAACACTTGTGATTTTCAGACTTGAATTTTTTGTATGTCTAGTGGCTATAAAATGGTAACTCACTGTGGCTCTAACAGGCAGTGCAGCGATTACCCGAGATACAGGACAATTTCATTACCCCCACATGCTCCCCTGTAGTCACCCCCGTCCCCCAGCCTCCAACCTTTATGCGCCAGCTCCTGAGTAGTATTGTAGAGCGGGCGGCTCCCCGGTGTTGAACCTCCTTTCTGGTGGCAGTGTACTGTCGCATCTGGTGCCCGGACCCTGGGCTGCCACAGGGCTTTAATGGCAGAGCAGAGTGCAAAGCTAGCCCGGAGGCCTAGGGTGCCCACTGTCTGCCCACAGGATTCCTTTGATGTGTTGGGTTTTAACTCATTGAATTTATGTGAACTTTTGATTACTACTCTAAAATGTATATATGTTTATTAATTTAAAAATGATAAGTGATCTCATCTCCCCTTCCCCTACTATATGAAGCTATACTTTTTTCCCACGATTTTATTTATTTATTTTTAGAGAAAGGGAAAGGGAGGGAGAAAGAGAGGGAGAGAAACATCAATGAGTGGTTGCCTCTTGTGTGCCCCCTGCTGGGGACCTGGCCTGCAACCCGAGCATGTGCCCTGACTGAGAATCGAATCAGTGACCCTTTAGTTTGCAGGCAGGCACTCAGTCCACTGAGCCACACCAGTCAGCACTGAGGCTGTACTTTATCTGTGGCTTCATAGTGGCTCTTTAACAGACCTAGATACTATTTTACTTCAGGGACAGGGGTCCTTTCCAGGACTTTCAAGACCTAAGGCGAAAATGGATTCACATACAACGCAGTTAGGAGGTAACCGTTCCAGGGAGGGGCTTACTATGGGACTCCATTATGTCAAGGCCATATCACCCCTCATCACTTCTGCACTCGAAGTGTAACCGGGCGTGCCCATGTTTGATTTGCATGCTGTGTTTTAGGGTCACAGCTGTTATTCAGGCCCAGGAACACCTAGGCTCTCTGAACAAGCTGGTGTATTTAGGCAACTCTCAGAGGCCAAGTGTGGCAACACTCAGCATTCTCTCAAGGTCACTGAGTCTCTTAGCACACTTTGTTTATGGGAGAATAACATTACTTCTGTCTTTCCCAGTTCCTGACTGCTGTAAAATCATAGGACAAGAGAATTGATCTGGAGGGGTGTGCGTGCGGTGGGTGGGGGAGGGTGTTGGGTTGAGGGGTAGCAATCAGTCCAGCCCCTGTGGTTTAAGAGCGGAAACAGACTCAAGTGCTTCCTGAAAGATGCCCACAGGGCTGCAGTTGGTGTTTATAGGATTCTTAAAAGCAAGGTTGTGGAGCTTTGGGATTTCATGCATTACAGGTACAAATCATTCCAGTGGCTTCAACCATCATCTAAATGTTGAAGGCTCCCAATCTGTGTAATCAACCCAAAGCTGTCTCCTAACATCCAAGCTAATAGCATGTGCTTACTGGACATTTCTGTGGAGATGCCCCCAGCCACCCAGAGGCTACTGCTACCTCAGTCAAGTCAGACTCCTAGGAGCTGCCTCTCCCTCTGCCTCATGGCCCAGTCAGTCCTACGGCCTCTGACACCTGCCTCATCAGGATCTCTTGGACCCATCCCCTTTGCTCTCCCCCACCATTGCTGCCCTCTCCCGGGTCTGGACCCTCAAAACACCCACCTGTCTAGTCTCCCTGCACTCAGCCTGCCCTTTTCTGGTGATCATATTTGTGACATGGGAGTAATGTTTCTGAAACAGAAATCTGATTGTGTATTGTCATGCTCACAGAACACGTCAGTGGTTGCTGCCTTCTCAGGGTCAAGTCTAGTCTCCCATAACGGAGCTGTGAGGTTGTTGAACTGCCCTGATTGCTCTGCCAGCTTTCATGTACCACCACTCCCTCCCCTACCCTCACAAAATTGTTTCTGTTAGCCGATTCCTATTTTTACTTCGGCGCTCTGCGTAGATGTCGCCTGAGACAGGAAGCTTTCCCTGACTCTGCAAAAGCCTGATCTCTCCCTCCAGTGTGCCTCTCCCACTGTGACTCGGTCTTTTCCTCCTGACAGCTTCTGATCCTTGTGGTAAGAGTGTGCTTACTTGTCTGTGGCCCTCAGTGGACTCTCAGCTTTGTGATTTATGTTCACAGTTGCATCCCCTCTACCTTGCATATAAGAGGTGCCTAATATGTTCTAAGGAAGGGCAATACGTTATACAAACAAACCAAAAACGTTATTTTTTAAAGAATGCTGAAGTTCAGGTGTATCTGGAGGAGCTATATCCTCATTGTTTCCGAGGTAAATCCTCCCCCTCCCCAGGGGAGCCACCTCAGCCCCCATCCCAGGGATGGGCAGGACATGGCTGAACGCTGTCTATTCTCCCCCAGAGTTCACCCCTTTGGCTCAGTTCTGAGCTCCCCATGAGGACATACATTCTGAGAAAGACCATTCACAAGATGGATTCCACTTTTTTCTCACCCAGGCCATGGAAAGTAAGCTGCTTGTTGGAGGAAAAAATATAGTAGATCATACAAATGAACAGCAGAAAATCCTGGAGCAAAAACGGCAGGAAATTGCAGAGCAGGTAACCCTTCCATTCCTGTTTTGGGGAGAATGTGATGGGGTAAGGCATGTTAATGCTACAAAGCAGACATCTCTTAGATTAGACTCTTCAAAGGGAAGGGAAACGAGCTGTGGTAGCTCCTTACCAGTGGGAGACTGATCTGGTGCAGCCCTGCCCTGTATTCTTGTCTAGACCTTGTCTCTAGGCAAGCTGATGAGTTTTGTAATGTTGCTCAGAAACGTCGAGAAAGAGAAATCCAGCAGCAGATGGAAAGTCGAGATGAGGAGACTTTGGAACTTAAGGAGACATACAGCTCATTGCAACAAGAGGTGGACATCAAGACCAAAAAACTCAAAAAGGTACATAAAGGGAACGAGGCCAGGCAGAGATGTCCGGGGCCTTGGGGGGTGGGATTGCTCGCTGTCTACAGGGCTGCCCTCCTCATCTGCCTCTTCCCCGCGTTCCAGCTCTTCTCCAAGCTGCAGGCAGTGAAGGCAGAGATCCACGACCTCCAAGAGGAGCACATCAAGGAACGGCAGGAGCTGGAGCAGACTCAGAATGAGCTCACCAGGGAGCTGAAACTCAAGTAAGTTCTGGGCTTTCTGGGGCGCCTGCAGGCACTTGTTGGGTGGTGGTTTGTTAAGTAAGAAACCCTTCCCTGAGGACGGGGCCCCTTCTCTCCAGCTCACCTCCTGCCAGCGTCTCTTTATTATTGAGAGTCACTCTGTCTCTGGGCTTCATCTGTTAACTGAATGATTTCACCATATGATCTTCAAGTTTCCATCCACTCTGCCTTCCTGAAGCATTTAAAGTTATCTATTGATACGAAGGAATTTTTTATTAACTAGAATTTCCTGAATGGTATAGTGAATACCCAAATACCCATCACCTAGATTCAGTGATAAACTGTCTTTTGTCATCTGTCTTTTAAAAATCCATTTTAAAGCATATCATACTCATGTTATCTCACTCATGTATACTCACATAGATGACTACAATGCTACATTTTAAAAGCTTTATTGAAATATAATTCACATACCTTACAGTTCACCTATTTAAAATATACAAGTCAGTTTTTCAAAAATATATACGGGGTTGTAAAACCATCAGCACAGTCTCATTTTGTTCCCCCCAAAGGAAAGCCCGTACCAATTAGCAGTCAGTCCTCATTATGCTCTCTCCCCACCCCAGTCCTAATCTACTTTCTGCCTCTATAAATTTGCTGGACACTTAGTGTGAATGGAATCATGATACGTGGTCTTTTGGGCCTGCTGTCTTTCACTTAACAGTGCTCTCAAGGATCATCCATGTTGTTTCGTGTAGTACTTCATTCTTTTTATGACTGAATAGTATTGTTTTGTGTGGCTGTGCCACATTTTATGTATCTGTTTATCAGTTGATAGGCATTTAGGTTATTCATAATAGCCAGTCTTTGGCTATTATGAATAATGCTGCTGTGAACGTTCATGGGCAGGTTTTTCTATGGACATATTTTAATTTCTCCTGGATATACACCTACGAGTGGAATTGGCGAGGTCACATGGTAACTCTGTTTAACTTTCTGAGGAAGCCAGGCTGTTTTTTTTTAGCCCTGGCTGGTGTGGCTCAATGGATTGAGTGCTAGCCTGCAAAGCAAGCGGTTGCTGGTTCGATTCCCAGTCAGGGCACATGCCTGGGATGTGGACCAGGTCCCACCAGGTCCGCACCAGTGGGGGTGCGTGAGAGGCAGCCACACGTGGATGTTTCTCTCCCTCTCTTAAAAACAAAACAAACTGTTTTCTAAAACGGCTGCGTCGGCTCTGGCCCGTGTGGCTCAGTTGACTGGAGCGTCATCCCATGCACCAGAGGCGTTGACGTTTCAGTTACTGGTCCGGGCACATACCTGGGCTGCAGATCGTATCTTCACAAGTGTCTCGGGTGCCTACGGGCGGCAGCCAGTGCACGTTTCTCTCTCACATCCATCCATGTTTCTGTCTTTCTCTCCCTTGCTCTCTCTAAATCAATAAACATCTTAAAAATTTTAAAGAAAATAGCTGCCTCCCTTTACATTTCCACCACCAATTTCTCCTTTCGACACTTTTTTCTCTTTTTTCCGTTATTGTCTTTTTTTTTTTTAAGGATTTTGTTTATTACTTTTAGAGAGGGGAAGGGAGAGAGGGAGAGAGAGAAACAGCAGTGTGCGAGAGATACATGGGTCAGTTGCCTCTCGCCCTCCCCCAACTGGGGTCCTGGCCCACAACCCAGGCGTGTGCCCTGACTGGGAATCGAATCCACGACCCTTTGATTTGCAGGCCAGCACTCAATCCAAAACCAGCTGGGGCTGTCTGGTTTTTTTTTTTTATTATAGCCATCCTAATGGGTGTGAAGTGGTATCTCATTGGGGTTTTGACTTGCATTTCCCTGATGGCTAATGATGTTGAACATCTTTTCATGTGTGCTTATTGGCTTTTGTTTATCTTCTTTGGAGAAATACCTGCTCAGATACTTTGCCCATTTTAAAATCAGGTTATTATTGGGTCTTTATAGTATTGAGTTGGAAGAGCTCTTTATATATCCTGGATACTACTAGTCCCTTACCAGATTTATGATTTGCAAATATTTTCTTCCATTCCATGGGTTGTCTTTTCACTTTCTTGATGGTGTTCTATAGCACAAAAGATCTTAATTTTGATGTAGTCCAATTGATATGTTCTTTTGTTGCTTGAATTTTTGGGTTGTGTATCTAAATTTGCCTATTCTGGACATTGTATATAAATTTATAAATGAAATAATGTGACCTTTTGTGACTAGCTTCTCTCAGGATAGTACTTTCAAGAGTCACCATCCACACTAGTATGTTTCAATACTTCCTTTTTTTAGTATTGAATAATACTGTATTGTATGAGTATACCACATTCGTTTATGCATTCATCAGTTGATGGATATTTGGGTTGTTTCTTCTTTTTAGCTCTTATGAATAATGCTGCTATGAACGTTTGTTTATGAGTTTTATAATAGACTTACGTTTTTAATTGTCTTAGGTCATCTAAGAGTCTTACAGTTTTAGGTCTTACATTTAGGTCTGTGATCTGTTGCAAGTTAATTTTTTCGTACAGTCTGAGGTAGGGTTTCACATGTGCTCTTTTGCACATGGATATCCAGTCGTCCAGCACCGTTTGTTGGAAAAGCTCTTCTATCATTGCCTCTGCGCCCCTGTTGAAAATCAGTGACCATAAACATAAGGAGTTGCCTCTAACCCCTCAGTGCTGCTCCATGGGGCTACGTGTCTGTCCTTATGTCAGTCCCACACTCTTCTGATGACGGTAGCTTTGCAGTAAGTGTTGAAATGAGGACATGTGAGTCCTCCAACACTGTTGTTCTTTTTCAAGTATTTTTGGCTATTCAGGGTTGCTTGCATTTCTGTATAAATTTTCAGATCAGCTTGTCAATTTCTGCAAAAAAATCCAGCTGTGATGTTAATGGGGACTGTGTTGAGTCTATAGGTCAATTTGGAGAGTTGTCGTCTTAACAATATTGTGTTCAGATCCATGAACATTGGATGTGTTTTCATTTGTTTAGATCTTTAATTTCTCTCATGGCTCTTTTATGGTTTTCAGTGCACAACTACTTGCACTACTTTTGTTAAATTTATACCTAAGTATTCTAATTTTTGATGCTATTGTATATGGAATTTTCTTAGTTTTCGTTCAGAAGGCTACTGCTAGTATGTAGAAATACAGTTGGTTTTTGTATAAAACACATGATATCATCCCAACTAACAAAACTAACATTAAGTTTCTTAGTATTTTCTCACACTTGGTCCATATTCAGATATTTTTGGTTTGTTTATATTAATATCTATGTGTGGGAATTTATGGGCAAGATGGAGGCATAGGTAAACACTTCACCTCCTCGCACAACCACAGAAAGAATTACAGCTAGACCTGAGAACAAATAATACCCAGAACCGTCAGAAAATCGAATTGTATGGAAGTCCAACAACCAAGGACTTAAGAAGCCACATTCATCCAGATAGGTAGGAGGGGCAGAGATGCGGAGACGGGTGGAGAAACTCAGGGACACCTTGTGGAGCACAGAGGCAGCAGCAGAACCGGCAGTCCCACATTCCCGTGATGGATAAAAATCAGGAGGGATACCTTGGGAGCAAGTGATCCCAGCCCCAGGCCAGACCACACAGACCAGGGTTCTAGCACCAGGAAGAGAAATCCACATAACTGCTGGCTGTAGAAACCAGTGGGGGTTGGGTGGCAAGGAAACTGCTGGATTTTCAGGAGACTCTGCTTAAAGGGCTTGCACAGACTTAGAACATAGCAAACCTACCCACTCTGGGATTCAGCACCAGGGCAGTAGCTGGAAGGAGACCAGTCACATGTAGGCAGAAAGTGAAGTGACTGGAAACAGGGCGAGTGCTGGGCAAACCTCCAGAAGCCAGGCAGCGGCATTGTCCCCTCTTTGAGCCCTACCCCACGCAGAGCCACAAAGCGGTGAAGCAGGTTGCCCTGCCCTGGTGATTACCTAAGGCTCCACCCCACACAATTTACAGGCGCTTTTTCTATAGTAGGCCACGCTAGTAAGACAGGGAGTCAAAGCAGCTCTACTTATACACAGAAACAAACACAAGGAGGCTGCCAGGTTGAGGAGACAAAGAAATACGGTCCAAATGAAAGAACAGAACAAAACGCTAGAAAAAAAGTCAAAATGAAACAGATAACCAAGCTATCAGGTGCAAAGTTCAAAACATTGGTGATCAGGATGTTCAGATAACTTATTGAATGGCAACAAAGTAAAAAAGACCCAGGAAGAAGTGAAGGTTACACTGAGTGAAATGAAAAAATCTACAGGGATGGTACATTTACACAATGGAATCCTGTGCAGCAGAAAGAAAGAAGGAGCTCGTACCCTTTGCAACAGCATGGGTGGAACTGGAAAGCATTGTGCTGAGTGAAATAAGCCAGGCGATAAAAGACAAATACCATATGATCTCACCTTTAACAGGGAGCTAAACAACAAAACAAACAAGCAAACAAAATATAACCAGAGATACTCAAATAGAGAACAGGCAGACAGTGACCAGAGGGCAGAGGGGAGGGAATTTCAGGGGAAAGGGGGAAGGATTTACAGAAACTGGTATAAAGGACACATGGACAACAACTAAGGGGGGTGGAAATTGGAGGGAGGTGGGGAGCACGGGGTGGGGGGTGAGCTGGGATGGGAGTAAAAGACAAAACTGTACTTGAACAACAAATAAGAAAAAATCTACAGGGAACCAACAGTGGAGGGGATGAAGCTAGGACTCAAATCAGTGATTTGGAACATAAGGAGGAAATAAGCATTCAAACCAGAACAGCAAGAGGAAAAAAGAATTCAGAAAAAAAAGGATAGTTAGTATATGGAGCATCTGGGACATCTCCAAATGTACCAACATCCAAATCATAGGGGTGCCAGAAGGAGATCCATGAACATTGGAAGAAGGAGAAGAGGAAGAGCAAGAAATTGAAAACTTATTGGAAAAAATAATGAAAGAAAACTTACCTAATTCTGTGAAGGAAATAGACATAATACATGTCCAAGAAGCACAGAGAGTCCCAAGCAAGATGGACACAAACAGGCCCACACCAAGACACATCATAATTAAAATAGCAAGGGTTAAAGATAAAGAGAGAATCTTAAAAGCAGCAAGAGAAAAGCAGAGTTACCTATAGGGGAGTTCCCATAAGAAAGGTCCTCAGCTGATTTCTCAAAAGAAACTTTGCAGTCAAGGAGGAACTGGCAAGAAATATTCAAAGTCATGAAAAGCAAGGACCTACAACCTGCATTACTCTATCCAGCAAAGCTGTCATTTAGAATGGAAGGGCAGATAAAGTGCTTCCCAGGCAAGGTAAAGCTAAAGGAGTTCATCATCACCAAACCAGTGTTACATGACATGTTAAAGGGACTTATTTAAGAACAAGAAGATCATAGAAACTATGAACATTAGAATGGCAACAAATTTACAGCTATCAACAACTGAATCTAAAAAAATGAACTAAGCCAACAAGCAGAACAGGAACATAATCATAGATATAGAGATCATTCGGAGGGTTATCAGTGGGGAGGGGGAAGAGGGAGAATGGGGGAAAAGGTGCAGGGAGTACAAGTTGGTAGGTGCAAAATAGTCAGGGGGATGTTAAGAATAGTGGAGGAAATGCAGCAACCCAGGAACTTAAATGTGTGACCCATGAACATGAACTAAGGTGGGGGGTTGCTGGAGGGAATGGGGGTGCTGGGTGGAGGGGGGCAGAAGGGAGTAACAGACAACTGTAATAGCATAATCAATATATTTTTTAAAAGATGTAATATATGGACTACATATTGCATTTGGTCGTTATGTCTCTTAACTTTATTTTAATCTGGAGCAATCCCTTTTCCTCTTAAGAACTTTTTACTAGTTGACTTGTTGAAAGAGTTGAGTCATATAGCCTGTAGAGATACCTCACATTCTGCATCTGTTGGTCTGCTTCTTCCTGGTGCAGTTTAATTTGCATCTCTATGAACTGAAAGCTAGCACCGAAGCACCGGTTCTCAACCTTGGCTGCACAAAGAAATCATCTGAGGAGTTTTTAAAAATAAGGGTGCTTGGGCCTCACCCTAGAGATTCTGATTTGATTGGTCTAGGGCAGTGGTCTTTAGCAAGCACCAAATCCTCTGAAAGGCTTGCTGAACATGCCTGGCGGGGCCCCATGTGCGGAGAGTCTTGATTTGGTATATCTGGGGCGGGACCTGAGAATGTGCATTTCCAACAAGTTCCAGTTGTTGCTCCTGCTGGTCCCGTGAACACACCTTGAGGACCACTGAGCTGTCACAAAGCCTGTGGAAGGTCCTTGTCAGAACTCTCTAAATGACGTCTTCATCAGAACTCTCTGAATGACATGAATGTACATCTTGGCTTGGGAACCACTGAGCTAATGGTTTCAGCCAAAAACGACTTTGTCTGGACCTTTTATGTCAGTAGGGGTTACAAAATGACGTTTTTCTGGATCAGTCCTTTCACAGCATTAGCTGGGATTTTTCTTTAAAGAAGAACTTTTCCAAAGGGATTCTTTTAATGACCAAGTTTTAAATTTCGAAAGGAGCCTTTAAAATTAAATGTTTGTATCAGTCCTCTTTCTAGGTACTCACACCTGGAAAAAAAGATCAGAACCCAATGTGCCAATATATTAATAATACCTACCTCTGGATAGTGAAGCTGTGTATAATTATATTTTTCAAATTTCCTAATATGTAAGTAGGACCTTTACAATCAGAAAAAAAAAACCCCAAATATACGTCGTGAAAAATAATTTCTTAAATGTCAAATAAAATGAAGAGAAAATTTCGTCTCTCCAAAATGTTTTTCCCCTAAAGAAGGCATGTCTGTTGTTATAGCTCTTATATCCTTTGAATAAACAATGAGTCAACCTGCTTTTGACTGTCAGCACCCGTCTCCTCTGATGTTTGCTGTGTGTTTTCTCTCACGCTAACGCCCCTTCGCATTGTTCTCACCCCTTCGCATTGTTCTCGCTGAGCTTTGGAGAGAGTGAATGCAGAGAGTAGCAGGAGACAGTCGTCACTATGGCGAGACACACAGCAGTGGTTCAGTTTCATTGTTTGCCATGTTGCTGGGGCTCTTCTCACTCAGACTCTTCCCAGGAATGGTCTTCATTCACAGAAGTCTAAGGGACTGACATGCACTCGGTCCTGCTCTTTGTCCTGGTGATCAGAATGTGAAAATTTCCATCTCTGGCAATAGTCCAGACATTCGGGGGAAGCAGTTCCATTTTTAGTCTGTTTTCATCACGTGGGAAGTTAATGAGCTGGGGTAGCAGTACCGGTGGCCCTCCCAAAGGTACTTCCGATAGCACAGACTCACTCCAGTACGGCCCGGGCATCACCTCCCTCTTCAGTTCTTTCACCTCCTAAAGCAGCGTCTCCTTGGGCAGAAGTGACCGCTCCATATTCCTTGGGCAGACCCAGCCAGCACTTGTCACACCTGAGAGTGCTGTACCGTTCTGTCTCAGGCAGCGGACCAAGTGTCATTCAGGTCTGCATCTCACTTCTTTGAGTGACGGTAGGCCCGTAGTCCCTGTATAGTAACTGCTGAGTGACTTGACTACCTAATTACACACTACATTCGGGGCCAGAGAACCGACCCCCCCATGTGTGTTCTTCCTCTCCCTGTGTTCACCCCTGTATGTGTGCTCTTACAGGCATCTTATTATAGAAAACTTTATCCCTCTGGAAGAAAAAAGTAAAATTATGAACAGATCCTTCTTTGATGAAGAGGAAGATCACTGGAAATTACATCCTATAACCAGACTGGAGTAAGTCACTGTTGACTCTTAAGTAGACTGGAAGGTGGGGAGGAGGGAAAGAATGCCGAGAAGCTGGACGTGGCCAGAGGGGTGCGGTAGGAACACAGTTCAACTCATTTAGAGTTGACACCAATTGTGTCCCTGATTTAGTGATGGCATAGTTCCGTGAGATAAAAATCGGTGATGCATATGCTGTTAGGAACTGGGAGACTTTCTTGCAGTGAACTAATGACCTCTCCCAAGTTTCTGCGTTTCAGCTTCCCCAGCTGTCTAGTGAAGCACTCCAGGCCAGACGAGGGGCATTACACAGGTATTATCTTGCATGTCAGTCTGACAGTGTTGAGAAGGACTCTCAGTATCAGTCTGGGTCCTGCTGGAAAAATGGGCAATGTCCGCCACGGACACAGGCATGGGGTGTGTTGACAGCTGTGCCTCTTGCCTACCACCTAAGAACTGGATAATGACTCAGTTCTCTTCCAGCTTAAAAGATGCATGATACTCACATTTGAATTAGAAAGCAGCTCAAGCAGAAAGTATTAGCAGCTCCTGCGTCATTTCCATGTCAGCCCTCAGTGCAGGAAGTCATGTGCTCAGGTTCTGTGTAAGCAGTCTCAGAGTCTTGTGAGTGCTGGTTCCGCGGGACAGATCTTGGGGCTGTGGGGCACTTGGCAGCCAGCGCATTAACCACTGCAGTCCATTTCCAGGAATCAGCAGATGATGAAGCGGCCAGTCTCAGCTGTGGGGTATAAGAGACCATTGAGCCAACATGCAAGAATGTCCATGATGATTCGTCCAGAGGCCCGATACAGGGTGAGAAGACTGTTCTCTCCTCTCTCTTACAGAGTTTAGATTCATGTAAACCCTTAGGCACTGTTCTGCAGAGTCACAGAGTTGTCATCCTCTCTCTAGAAGCCCCAGAGGAAACTTACATTCATATAACAACTCTAACAAATGAGAAGTAACAAAAAGAACAATAACAAATAATTACACATTAGAAAGGTAAAATAGAATGAGATTTAGAAAATTAGGACTAGGAGGAGAGTATAAGCATCCTGTCCATAATGGCCAATAAACATTAACACCAAGCTTTCAACTGTCTCTGTGGGAAGACTGGGAGAAAGGGAAGTGTTAGCGATAGGAGATGGAGGTGTGTTAAGGTACGGTGCCCTGGCTGGGGTGGCTCTGTGGATTTAGCACCAGCCTGTGAACCAAAAGGTCACCAGTTTGATTTCCAGTCAGGGCACATGCCTGGGTCGAGGGTCAGGTCCCCAGCTGGGGGTGTGCAAGAGGCCACCAATCAGTGTTTTTCTTGCACATCGATATTTCTCTCCCTCTCTTCCTTCCTCCCTTCCTCTTTCTCTAAAAATTAAATAAAATTATTTTTTAAAAAGGAAGGTATGGCACTTCTATTTAACATAATATAGCACATAAAATACCATGATTAAGGCCTGTTTAGTGACCCAGACATATAATACTAGGTGAGCTATTTATAAGCACTTGCTGTGTGCCAGGCACTGTATTTGGTGCTTTATTGCTTTCTCCACTTGGACCCTCCCACTTACTCGGTGTAGTAGTCCTGTGGCTTAGTAGGTAGCTGGTTAGTGGATGAAGCAGGAGACACAATATGGTGTTAAGTTATGAAACAATTGGTACTGCAAGTGTATATATGAATTGAAAAGTCTAGGACAAAATATATCAAAATGTGTACTGTTTATCCCTGGTTAATGGAAGTATAGTCCATTTAAATTTCCTTCTTTTTTGCTTATCTGTATTTTCTATCAGTGGGGACTCTGTATTATTTTTATAATGAAATATTTTCATCACAATTTTTTTGAGTCTCCCTTAGCAGGCAGAGCAAAACAGAGTAGGATTGGTTAGCTCCTCAGGTGCTGTTCTTCCTGGCACCGAGTTATTTAAAATAAAGAAAACAAGAGCAGAAGAGGTGTGTTAGATGGGGTTTTACATCATGGAAGATGGGTGATGGGTCAGACAGAGTCCTCAGAAGCATTTTTCTAGCCATTTCCAAGGGTGCTTTTTCTTACCAGTTATTTCATGTCTTAAGCTAAAAATGTGCTTTTAAAGCTTACCAATCAAATATGGTGGGTTTACGCCCTGGGTGGTGTAGTTCAGTGGATTGAGTGCGGGCCTTCGAACCAAAGGATCAAGGTTCGATTCCCAGTCAGGTCACACGCCTGGGTTGCAGGCCAGTTCCCGGCAGGGGATGCATGGGAGGCAACCATACATTGATGTTTCTCTCCCTCTCTCCTTCCCTTCCCCTCTAAAGATAAATAAATAAAAATCTTTATTAAAAAAACGTGGTGGGTTTCCAGGGGGCTGAGTCAAAGGTAGAATTTCAAGCAGCGGTGCTCAGATGCTTTTAGCAACAGACCCACTCCATTAAGGCAGATGTTAAGCAGCATCTCGGTATCTAAAATTGATAAACAGCCACTCCCTGTCCTCACCTTCTCCCTGCAGTGGGGCCTGGACTCCACTGAGTGGGAGGAGCTGGAGGACGAGATGTTTAAACTGTTCTCTTTCCCTATGCACTCGCCTTGGTAGGAGCTAGGGAAAGGCCCACCACGGGATGTCAAGTGAAGGAATCCATCCACAAGGCCAGTTGTGAGGCGGGGCCCAGACTGATTTTCAAAATGTGGTCGTGAGCCCATACACTGCCACATACATCTTCCGCATGTGTGCACCACACCTGCCTCTCCCCTTGGCAACCACAGCGTTCATCAGAGCTGCTCTAGGTAGTGAGACTATTGGTGATTACCATCTCCTTCCTTATACCCTCTTGTATTTTTACACTGTCTGCAATAAATGAGTTTTACTTAATTTATTATTATTCCCCTAAGGGTGTAATACATGCTCATCATTAAATGTTTCTTATTTTTAGCCCTGGCTGGGGTAGCTCAGTGGATCAAGCACTGGCCTGCAACCCAAAAGGTTGCTGGTTTGATGCCCAGTCAGGGGACATGCCTGAGTTGCAGACCAGGTTCCCAGTAGGGGGCACACAAGAGGCAGCCACACATTGATGTTTCTCTCCTTTCTTCTCCCTTCCCCTCTCTAAAAATAAATAAAATCTTTTTTTAAAAAAGGAAAATAGTGAATAGCCCAGAGAAGAAACTAAAAAATCATCTGTAATCTCACCAGGAAAAAAGTTATAAAACTACATCACTTCTAGGCAGGTTCTTGATAGGCTCTGAGGAGCAAGCAATTTGCAGTTCTGTTTTTGGAAGGGGTCTGCATTGCATGTTCTACGTGTCTGATTGGAAACCAGCCTCACTGGTAATGGCTGTACTTCTGCAGGCAGAAAACATTGTGCTGTTAGAGCTGGACATGCCCAGCCGGACCACCAGAGACTATGAGGGCCCGGCTATTGCCCCCAAAGTCCAGGCCGCATTGGATGCAGCTCTGCAGGATGAAGATGAGATACAGGTGGATGCATCATCCTTTGAAAGTACTGCAAATAAGAAATCCAAGGCCAGGTGAGTGGCTCTTGATGACCTGTGTTTGAACAGAACCTGTAGGCGCAGGGACAAGTGAAGGCAGAGGGTGCCGAGAGTGTCTGTCTGTCATAGAATGCTTTACAGGGTACGCCAGAAAATGCTACCACATTACTCCCATGTTTATTCATTTATTACACAGATATTTCTGGTTCAGGCATTATGCCAAGTAGACTGAACAGCAGAATGCCTAATGTGCCCGGCTCCTACTATAAGGAACACACGTTCGTGTGAAACAGGGGACAGTCCTTGGTTTCTACCAGGTACCAGGGACTTAATTTGATGCTAAATTAGAAATTCTATTATGTTAAATTCTGGATTAGAAGTTAAAAGAAAATAACTAGGTGAAAAACCCAAAATGGAAGAAATTATACCTGGGAATTTGATATTTCTTGTCAATTTGGAGAAGACTGAAGACTTTATCTAAATGGAGAAACAATGGCTGAGCGTCGGAGTCCCTTCCCTGGGGCCTCACACCTTGGTCTGCAGGGCGTGTTAGTCATGCGCAGAGGGGCCTGTGTGCTGGTCTCGTGGTTTTGCAGCTGAAACTGTACTGGCTTTCAGGCTGTTGTGGAAAGGCTGCCTGGAAATGTTAATGGCACTTAATGGGAAAGGAACCTGATCTGTGTCGGCGACAGAGATGGGACATGTAATGTGAACATGTGCTTGACTTTTGCAGGCCTAAAAGCGGAAGGAAGTCGGGATCCTCCTCTTCTTCCTCAGGAACCCCTGCATCGCAGCTTTATCCACAGTCACGAGGGCTGGTTCCAAAGTAAAGCCAGTTCCTTCTCTCCCGGGGTTTAAACAGCATTTGCCTTCTGAGAGAAGACATGAGCAAATCCCTGCAGAGAGGACTCCAGCCCAAACTCAGAACCATTCCCCTGGGGAGAAGTGATGGCCTCTTTGCAGGTTAACCAATTGAATCTGGCTGAAAGGTGCTGGTCCTAACCCGGCACTCAGCAGCGTCCTTTCATTAGCATCTCAGAAATGCATGGGTCAGGTTAAGTGCGGTAGTCGAAGTGGAAAGCAAGAGAATGACCAGTGACCTTGCTTCCCTTCTCCCTTGCCTTCTCCTCTCCCTACCCTTGCCTTCCTCCCTGTCCCCTCTCCTCTTCTAGCCTGTTCTTTACACTGGGCTCCCTTGTTGCCCAGTAGGGCAGAATCAGGAGTCACCTTAGTGGGACCAAGTCTTTGGAGCCTCAGGATACAGTGCCAGTGAGGTTGAAAAGTGCAAGCCCTAGAACTTGAATAGGTGCTGCTCCTGTAGTTGGAATGAGACGTCTCATTTGGACCCAAGCCCCCAGTGGGCATGATCCATGCTCCTCAGTAGAAAGTGGATCCGCCTTTGGGATCTGCCGTATAAGGAATGTTTTTCAAGGAAGCTGCCACTTTTCTGCTCCTGAAGGATTAATGTTGGAAGCAGTAGAAATCATATTCCCTTTGCCTCCTTGGAGAGTTTAGGGGAAACAGCTTCTTTAAAACCTCAACACCATGACCATCCTCTCAAAGATGTAAATCTGTAAGCCAATGCCATGTCCATACACCATGTCACTTGACTCTTCATTTGTCACCATCTTTAGCCAAGTGTGCGTACTCTGAGCATCCCTTCCTAGGCCAGGGCATGCTCTGCAGTGGGCCTGCTTTATGGGAGAGACTGGCGCTGCCTTCTCTGATGGGATAAGAGTAGGGGGAATGAGACATACAGTGGCACTTTTGAACCCCCACTTTGTTCCGTGTTTGCATAGACAGCATCGGGGTGACTGGGCAGAGGCCGAGGCACGAAGCCCAGCGCAGAGTGAAGGGAAGACATAACAGACACAAAGAGCTCCGCTTGCCTCCAGCTGGAAGTCACCTTGACCTAGAATTGCGGCTCCCCCCACGCAGAACCAAAAGTGGTGGTGAGGAGTGGCCGTGCGATTGAATAGGCTCAGAGGAGAGGGTTAGAAATTCCCGTTTACATAAACTAGTTTGGTTTATAAGTTTTAGTTCTGTGTATTATTGAAATTCAAAGCTTCATTTTTATGTTGGTCATTAGGTGAATGTTACTCCTTTTCCCCCCAAGAGGAGCATATAGGTGTGTGTGGGTGTGCGAGCCCAGTGGTGCCTGTGTTCTCTGAGTGCGTCCATGTGTGTCTGTAAGAGAGAGACAGAGACCAAGGACTTGGCCCGTTTTAGAATGACACTAATGTACAGTTGTTGCCTTTGTCCGCATCGAAGGCCCACTGAATGACTAGTGCTGGCCGGAAGCACTCCCACATGGGTGTCTGAGTCCACAAGCCAAGCCTGAGGGGACAGTGTAAGTCCCCGGGGCTGCCACACTGGTGTACCTTGCTGGCATGGTGCCTCAGCAACGTGGCGACTCAGGTGGGCCTTGAGTTATACTTTAACTCAGCTGCTCAGTTCCCAGGGCACATTTTTGGATCAGAACCTGTGGGAAAGAGGAGGTACCAAGTGCAATGTCGTAGCATTCTGCAAATGGAGATCTGTCATCTGGCAGCTGATCTCCTTTGTCGTTACCATTCTTTCTGAACCCAGGGCCCTTTTCAGTAATTCCCAGAGTGTAAGGGAGCCGTCCCTCATCTTTCTTGGGATCAAACCCTGCTCCTTTCTTATTTAGTAAGACTTTACCTGTTTGAATAGGAACCAAATGACAAGGTGACAGCCTAAGAGTATCTGCCGGTTACACCTGTCTCTTGCACCACAGTTTTTCAGAGCTAGTATGAATTGTGTAGGCTGAAAATATTCACCCAGCAAATTCGAGAACCGAACACCGCAGGTAATGCAACACCTTATCCCCGGTGTCTCGAGGTGGCTGTTCTGACCAAGGATGGTTGAGTGACCATAGAACTTTTCTAAGGCAAAAGAAGAAAGCCGAGTTGACAAGCAGGGCTAGTAAAACAAGCTTGCCTTGAACTTAGCATTGTTCGTCTGGTGGTCTGTGCGAAAAGTGGAAGTACACCCATGTGGAGGTGAAGCTGTCCCTCCCAAAGCAGTCTCCGGTGCTTCTCTTCTCTCAAAGTGGATCCGATAAATATTTGAATAGAGCAGGCAGTGGAACGCCTTACTGCTACCAGAACGCTGCTGCTTTGGGCTCTGAATTGAGCCAGATGTGCGGAGGACCTCCCAAGCCCACTGAGGGCCCGGGTTTTCCTGTCTGTAGTCATGTCTGAACGTTCCAAGCCGTCCAAGGGCCCTCATGCCGGCAGCAGTTAGTGAAGTCTGGAAGCCAGCCAAACAGCGTCTAAGAAGATCATCTGGAGAAGGAGTTCGAGACTGTGCACAGCCCTCATCAGGCCCCTTTTTGCTCTGATCAGCAGGAATGTATTTGGCTTCCTATTTTAAAGTCACATGTCTCCCAGACCGCTGGATTCAGAACCCAAGGCCAGGAATCTTAGGTATGAAGCACTTTCTTAAGACTCTGACCTAACATTTGATTGTTCCCTGTTGAATGCCTGCCTGCATGCTGCTTGAATCGCGCCACCCACACCTCCATGACCAAGTGCATCAGAGAGTTCTGCAGCTCAGGTGTGGGCTGTTCTCTGCTTTCTTGTCTGACTCTTGTAAGTCCTCCTTCACTGAATGTAAAATTGTTGCCAAGTTGCTGAGAAGTGTCCGGATTCCCTGTCGCTAACATGGGATATTAGTTCTGCCTCACATTTCCCACTTGAGGTCAAGGTTCACTGCAAGGAACAGCTTGGGCCATCTGAACACCATCAGTGGTTGAAAATGGGGCTATTAATACACTCTAAAAGCCATAATCAAAATGCTCAGAGGGAACTGGATAAGAATAGTGGGCCTGGCTATTGTCTATCTCGCAAGGTTTTGTCTTGTACTGCTCAGAACTCTGCCACCTTTCTCCCTGCCCATGTTTCTTGAATGAAATACTTTTGAGGTTATTTATGAAAGGAGTAAATCCTGGTGCAGGAAGGAGGCAGTGGGCTTTATGGCTCATTAGAGTTACTATTGACCTTGACCTTCTCTTTGGCTACCTTTAGACAAAGAATATGCCAATACTTGGGGCTCTAAATTGATATTTATTTGTATCATCTCTTTGTCTAGGAATGTAAAAGTGATTCTAAACTAAGATGTGTAATAAAAATCAGATTTATTGTACCTACATAAGGTGTTCTCATAAATGACCGACACTTTTGAATGACATGCCTGTGGCTGGCTCACTGCCGCTCTCCTTAAACATTGTTTCTAGAGAGAGGAGGATGGGAGTGGAAATGAAGGGTGAGTTGGAATGCTGGCATTTAAAAAACATAGTAACAAGGTAAAGGGACATAAAATGAAGCAAGACAGAGTGACAAATAAGCACTGCTCAAGTTTTTCCATGGAAGTTCCCGGTACCAGCCTGAGCAACAGGCATGAAATACCTTTTAACTTTTGTATTTTGTTGTTGTTGTTTTAATTTCTTTAAACCTATTACATTATACTTATAAGTCTTTTTTAACACAAAAAATACTTTCTGTTATTTACCATTGGGGGAAAAAAAATACCAGACATGGGCCAAATGTGAGTATCGTGGTCCCTCACACTCTTGGGCTACAGAAGTGCGCCCTGGGCACTTGAGCTTCCTGGTCGGGGGTCGGGGCTGCAGAGAAGGAGCACAGACCCTGGCCTCAGAGCCGGCCTGAATTTTGGTTGTGCCTTTGTTTACTAAGCATGAGACCATGAGGAATTTCATTGACCTCTCTGAATCTTGGGGTCCTTGTCTATAAAATGGGGTGGTAACCCCTACTTTGCAGGACCATTGCGAGGATTAGCAGTGATTTAAAGCAAAAGCACACAACATGTGGACAAGAGCAGACACTTGAAAATATGCTTATGGCTGTGACGGGGCCCTGTGTTCAGAAGACGCCGAGGACAGTTTGCATCTCAGGACACTAGACATTAGTCCCGGACGTGCCGCGTTTAGAGACTCCCAGGCCTTTCTAGGAAAGCTGCTAAGTATTTAACAAATGTAAATCGAGTGTCTACCACGTGCCATGTTATTCTGGGCGCTGGATGTATAGATGTGAGTAACACGGCCCACACAGAGCTTGCACTTCAGTGGGGAAGGAGGCAGTGAGTGTTAACCAGACACACGCAGGTGTGTAAGTACAAATTACCACAGAAGCCATGAAGCGTCAGGACAGGTTATTACAAGAGAGTAACAGGAGCTTGGTTTGGGTTGGGCAGGCAAATAAAGGAAGGGCTGTCTGAGGAAACGACATTTACAGTGAAATCTAGAGGGTAGGGAGTTGCCGGGTGAGGGAGGAGGGACAGGAGTTTGTGAAAGGGGACATTTGTGAAGGCCTTGTTTGACCAGAGGGAAGTGTGAACCGTCATAGAGAAGATTATAGGACAGGGCTCTAAAAAACACCAAGATATTTAAAGAGCACAGGGGACAGTGGCCTCTGTAACTTAGGCAAATAATGCTTAATTGTGTTTCTTCACAAGACACCCTCGAACTATGTGTAATGTGTCTATACCTCCCTTTCCTTCCAACAAAGAGTTAAAAACCATAGCTTGGCATGGCCTAAAGAATTATTAGTTTAGAATAGTTCAAAATGCATTAGCCAGAAAGCAAGAGTTCAGAGTGTGATTTGAAGAATGATGAGTGTGTTCTTGAAAGTGACAGAGTCCTGGGCCGGGAACTCATGTGCACAGGTGGTGCAGGGCAGGGCAGCTCAGCAGCTTGGGGATTCCTGCCTCTCACCAAGTTGTCTTCTCATCTTCTGGATTGTTAAAAATAAATCAAACTATTCACACCTTGTATTATCCTGTAAAAAATATATGTGGTCTTCATCCCTGAGGAGCATCTACAACCTTTGGAATTTGAGTGATGGGAGTGTCTCTTGGTGTTTCTGGCAAGCCCCTTTCAGCCATGTCTGAGTTAATGCTAATAAAGCGACTCTAGGTGGGCCCCTCGGTAGCTTCAGGATGGGGGCTGGCTGCCAGAGGAAATGATCGTGTGATTAGAGGTTTGGAACTTTCAGTTCTATCCCCTGACCCCTAGGGAGGGGAGGGAAGAGGAACTGGAGATTGAGTTCATCACCAGTGGCCAGTGATTTAATCATGGCTAGGTAAAGGAGCCTCCATAGAAGTGCCTAAACGATGGGGGTTTGGAGAGCTCCCGGGCTGGTCAACACATTGAGGGGCTGGGAGGATGACATGCGCAAAGAGGACCTGGAGGCTTCCTGTTCCTCCCCACCCCCACCTTCTACTGTGCATTTTTGCCCTTGGCTCCTCCTGGGAGTTGCATCCTTTATAATAAATCAGTAAGAGTAACTAAAGCCCTTTCCCGAGTTCTGTGAGCTATTCTAGCGATTACCAAACCTGAGGAGAGGACTGAGGGGACGCCAATTTACAGCTGATCAGAAGTACCAGTGGCCACCTGGGACTTGCAGCTGGCATCTGAAGTGGTGGCAGTCTTGTGGGATTGAGCCCGTAATGGCTGGGCATGTGCTAACTAATTCCAGGTCATGCCAGAATTGTAGGATGCCCCGCTGGAGTCTGGAGAATCATAGGATTGGTGGTTGGGTGGAAAGGAAGCCCCGTACATTTGGTTGTCAGAAGTGCTGCGAATAAAAACAGTTGCCCTTGGAAACTGTATTTGGAACTCCACACAGATAGTTCAGTTTGGGGGCATGTGATTTTGTTGGGCTCTCTTATACTGGAGTTGCCATCTGATTGAAGTTACCCCCAGAATGGTCTCCAAGGACTATGCTGTGGTCACATCTGCCAGTGGCATTTGTCAAGGATGTAACTGTAGCTCTCGCAGCTGCTCCTGTTTCATCCTCTGTTTCTGTCACCGGTCTTGTGGTTAACCGTCCCCGGGTGCTTCAGTTAGGCGAGCCAACTGGGGACTTGCTTTTGGGGTGAGAGAAATGGGCAAAGCGAGACATCGTTCCCCTGCATCTCCGGACACAGTGTAGCTCATGGGAGTTTGTTGAATGCCTGTTACGCACCAGTTGTCTAGCTCTGTTCCGAGGATGGAGAG